AGTGTGCCAGCAACAGTGAATGAAAGAAACCCTACCTCCCTTCCCAACAAGAATTGAGTTGCTCTGCTGTGGTGTTCTTCTGGGGAGCAGCAAGGCAATGAATAACCATAACTGCTTTGGTCTCCTGTGCATGTGCACTGATGCATTTTGGTGCATGTGGTAAGAGCAATGAATTTCTGCAGGCTGCATAGTAAATACCATTGCTGGAGCAGGGTGTGCAGGGCAGTGGAGCTCCTTCTTGCACTGAATGGTCCTGAACTTATCAAGGTTCAGAACCATTCCTCTGAAGTGGGCTTGGTCTCACATTAGGCCATGTAATGTCTGAAACTAAACCCAAGGGATGCTGCAAGTATTGCTGTGGCCAGGTAGTGTGCAAAATGTGTCTTGGGCTGGGGTTTGGTGTAAATTACCTTTGCCTACCATTGTCTCTGCTGCCAGTGCCACAGGCACACATCCATCTTCTAGGAGTTCAGCTGAGCCCAAGGTGCCCTTGCTGCTTCCCAGCACCTGCTTTGGAAGTGAATCTTTGGGTGTTTGGGTGTTCGTACAGGCCCTAACAGCAACACAGTCTGGGGGTGTCTCAGGCAGCTTTCCTTCTGCCAAAACACTCAGTAGCATTCCCCACCTCTGGGTTACCTCCCTTGAGGACTTTGGTTGCTTTTATAGAAACATGGCTGGTGAATGTTGTGCAGGAAAGCATTATTTTGGTGTCATGTGGAGCATTCACTGCTACACCTCCAAAACTGCTTTTGACTCCTGTAAATTTCTGGGAGGGGCATTTGATGGTCTTCTGTAACTCACCTTGCTATGTAGGTGCTGGCTGATCTTATCATGGTGGATTCCTGTCAAGTCCATCATGAAGGGGCACCCGCTTCTTGTTTAACTTGATTTGAGGCACAGGAAAAATGAAGGCTCCCTGGTATGTTGCTTGTTTATGGACAAACTGTAGGTCAGTCTGGGGTTTTTCTGTTTGAAAAGGGATGAACTTGATGTACAGAGCTGCTGGTAATAGTCAGACATCCTCAGTTGACTGTAGAAAATCTGTGTTTTTGCAATGTTCTGTGCTGCTGCTGTTTCCTCACTGTGCAGAGGCAGGTAGAGCTCCCCAGGTGATGCTCCCCAAAACGAGCTCCCTGCAGGGTGCTCTGCTCATTTGCCTTTCGCCCTCCCCATATGCAAGGGCACACACAGAGGGTTCTCACTGCTTTGGTGCTTTTATGACATTTGTGTGGAAATGGGAATGTGTGAGTTCAGCTGGAATCAAGATGACTCTTCTGTGGATATTTACTTTCCTCATTCTTGCCTAGGGAGGTAAAACAATTTTTACTGGAATATTTCCTTTCCTAGGTACTTATTAAAGGTAAAGCTTTAAGCACAATGTAGTGCATCCTTACAGAAGATAGGTTTATTAGCTTAAACATTAGCATCAAGAACTAAACATATAACAATATTCTTCTTAGTGTTTTGCTCATATGTTTGGGTTTTAGCATTATCTTCTCATTCTTAAGTTATTCAGCTTCCTTGAGATTTTCCTTCAATGCACTGAGTTTTCCAAAGGCAATATAAGCATAGAAGAATCAGGTTTTGCACAGTTGAATAGTGATGGAGGATTCTTTCTGTAAGTCAGGTAGAGTTAATCAGAACAGTAGTCTTATTTATACCTAGAACATTTGAACTACAAATAGGATGCACTGAATACCAAAAATAAAAGAAGAATAAATAAATTACAATTATTCTTCTAAGTTTGGGTTAAGGGATGTAGTAGTTCTACCTGCTTGAGTTCTCAGGTCAGTCATTTTTTATGGTAGGATTTTCTAATGCTATACCAATGTAGTTCTAGTTAAAATCCCTCCCTCAAACTCTTAAAGTGGGCTCAGGTTCCCATAGCTCAGAACAGATTGATAAAGAACTTTATTGCTCATCTAGCTCAGTCAAAGATACTAATGTTTGCAAACTTACATAATGAGGCATAGAAATATTGAGAAAAGTGGTTGCTAATGCATTTTTTCTTTATAAAAAAAATATGAAGCAAAAATATGTTTTGCTGAACATGCTGAAAAAAATTATTAGGACAATACTTCTGTTAATTATTGTTTTTTTGTCTTTTCATGTATTTGATGTAACTATACAGTCTATTGTACTGATCTCTTGTGCAGCTGGGAAACACCAGAAAGAAAAGGACAGAAAAGTGTGCCCTTTTATTCACTCAAGCAGATTTGGCACAGTCGTGACACAGCCTAAAGGCTTCCTGCACAAACAAGTCAGGTTGCTTCAGTCAGGAATCTTTTTCAGGCCAAAAGCAGGGGAAGCTCAGTTAAAAAAGGGAAAAAGGAGAAATAAAGAGTATTTAGATTAAACCTATGGCAAATTCTAATAAAGTTTTCTAGTGAAACCCTTTAAATGTTTGTTTGCAAGGCTCTGGCATTGAATTGCAACCAAGAAAAGGCAGCTTCAATATCCAACCGTACTGGATTGTTATAAAGCTAAAAAACATGAATTTAACTAAGGAAAACAGCACTCTTTCCATACCAGAATATACTGATATCTTTGTAGGAGCAAATACAACTTCAATAGAGAATCAGAGAATGTTTTATGTTGGAAAAGACCTTTGTGACCATCAGTCCAAGCATTAACCCAGCACTACCAAGTCCACCACTAAACCATGTCCCCAGGTTTCACACCCACACATGTTTTAAATACCTCCAGGGATGGGGACTCACCACTGCCCTGCTCAGCCTGGTTCATGTTCCATATGCTGAATAAGAAGGTAGCATTAGGATAAAAATTCTGATGGTGGTTCTGTCATCATGACTCTAAAAGCTACATTATTTATTGAAAGACCATTACAGTACTGGTGAGGAGAAGCATGACTAAAATTGGAAAAGTCAAAATGGAGTGAAAATTCATTGTGATCCTGAGATTAATATGGATACTGTACAGTGTTTCTGTGGAAGTCAGACAAGTGGTATTGAGGATTACTATGAATCAGCCATAAGTGATTCATTGAACATAATGACCTTTGTTAAATTTTGTACAAGTTTGCTACTTAAAATGGGCTAAGCTGGAATTCCTGGAAGTGGTAATTCGCTCTTTACGCATGACTTGATTTTCTTTTCTAACTTACTTGGATGAGGTGGCATATGCTTTTACATCATGGTATTCTTGCCAGCAACATCTAGTAATTCATTCTGCCAGCAAGAATGCCACCTGAGATATTACTTTTTTTCTGGCTGGTGAGGTGATATCTGTGACAAAGAAATCTGGATACTGGAAGAGGGACTTTGGAGTGGAAAGTAGTACATTACTTATTATGGATTGTGCTAATTACAGAAGGGAAGATTGCTCTCAAGTCCCAGTGTGTCAGATGAAGCTGCAGTTATTTAGTACATCTGAAGATCAGACAAAAGGAATGTAAAATTGGAAAAAGTGTTATTTCAAAAAAAGTCACTGTCCCTAGTCACCACTAGGACTTAATTTCAAAGGTAATTTAAATTAAAGTAATTTCATCCAGTTCAACACTTTGCAGTTATTATTGTTTGTCTGAGGACTCTGGCAATGCCTATCTTCAATATTGTTAATTTCAGTGGACTTGAATGCAAGAATTTTAGTTCTCTATCTCATCAAAGGACTGGTTTCTTAATCTCTAACATCTCACTACTGTGAGTCAGTATAAACCACAGACCGTCGATATTAGGAAATTTATGATGATGTATAGATTTGAACTTGCCATGTTAACATTTATGATGCCAGGTAGAAATTAAAAGTTCTTTTAGAAATAGTTTTGTGTAAATTAGACAATAATTTTTTTTAACACTATCAAATCTGGTAAATAATTTGCGTAAGTTCTTTACTGTAAAAATAGACCTCCACAAGGAAGCATGTAATTTCATTTACATTGCTATTGTTCAGAACATAGATAGTAGGAGGTATACTGATATATTCATAAGTGATCCAACATTTGCTGGGAAGAGGGAAAACAATTAGAGATTTAAATCCTTTTATTAATCCAAAAGAGCATTTTGTCTCAACATCATAAAATAAATGAAAAATAAATTGTTGGAAAAGTTAAAATAATTTCAGTCTTTGTTTTTTTCTTTTTTTTTAACTTATGAGTGCAACAGATAATGTTGTTCTCCCCTAAAAGTATCTTACAAAAATGTACAGAAAAATCTTTTAGTCATAGGTGTAATAATCAGTTCACTGTTATCAAAAGAATGGGTAGCACTGAGTAACTTGAATCCTTTTTGTATTCTTGTCATGTGAGAAAAACCTATATTGAAGCATAAACAGAGCATGCCTTGGAGGAAAGTGTAGTCATTGCCTAATTGAATATACAATTTATTTTATCATTCATTTGAATGTATCTTTCACTTTATTGGGAAAAAAACCCCTACCTAATCCATCCTCTGGTGTGCATGCTCATTATTTTAAAATTAAGACCTTCTGTTGCTTAAGTGCTTGTACATAGAAGCACAAACACATCTAAATTTACTCTCCTGTGTAGGTCAATTGAATTAACTTGGCTGCACATTTGAATAATATAAAAATGCACATAATAATCAGTAGAACCAGGACTCGTAATTTCTTTCAGAAATCACATGTAACTATTCACTTGAGAAAGCAATTTATAATTTTCTTGATAAACATGGAGAATCAGACAAATGAAAGGATCCAAAACGTTGAAGAATGCTAATGTTTTTTTGAAATAGTGTAGTTTGTATATCAAGACCAAGACGCCAATTTCTATATGCATGATTGAAATTACTTGATAAAGAAATAAAGATGCTTCCCTCCAGCTGAGTGAATGATGTCATTAATTAAAAATATATATATGTCATTAATTAAAAATATATATAAAATTATGTATTCTAAATACGTTTTTTATTCTTAAGTGTCTTCTCTTAAATCAGTTCCTTCAGAATAGATTTATATCTGAATATTCATGGCACACTACAAAACAATTTAATTAAAAATGATCACGTTTTTCTTTCTCTTTCCAGTTCAACAGAAGAGCAGTTTCACTGGCAAACACAAGGTAACGTACCTATGTACATATATGTATCACTTACATTCTCTCCCAGAAAGATCATTTTTACCTAAAGAAGATGGAGGGAGAAAGCACATTCATGTATGTGGAGGTTTTTGTTGGGGTTTTTCCCCAACATGAAACATACTGGGTGGCTGTGAGGAAATCTGATTGTAACTACTTGGCCAGGTAGCTGGTAATTCCTTACAACTAAAATTTTTTTTGTTGTGTGTTTTTTCTCATTGCTAGTGGGTGAAAATTGTACTTAAAAAGTGACAAGATTTGGCGAAAGTTTTTAGGATTGACAAAAAGCACACTGAAACTAAGTAGAGTTTTGAGAAGGGGCATTGCTAAATATGTCTCTGGCTTTTTTTACTACTAGACCTAAATATTCTCATTTTGCTTTTATTAATCCAACGCCACACTTTCAAAGGATGGCACAATTTTCAGTATGGCCAGCGTCCTGGGAATGTGTGGCCTCCATTCCTTCATCAGCTGTGAATGCTTAGTCACATAAAACTGGTTTTAGCTTTTGTCTTGTATATGGCTTTACCTTTTTAGCCTTCTTTTACGTTTTTATGTTGTTAATTTCATTACAGATGGTCAGAAGGATATAGAAGATGAACTCACCACTGGTCTGGAGCTGGTGGACTCCTGTATTAGATCACTGCAGGAATCAGGGATACTTGATCCACAGGATTATTCAGCCAGTGAAAGTAAGTTGCTAGAAATATATTTTCTAGAACTCAAAAATTTCTTGCTTTAAAACTGAATGCATGTCTTTAAGTGCTGCTAGTTTTTTGGGGGAAAAACAAGCACATGAAATATATTTTAAGGAAAATATTTTCTAATTGCAATGCTGCTGCACTATACTATAAGGTCATGTTACAAAACTTCAGCATCGCCACCATAAAAACATAAAACAACCATAAAAACAACATTCAAACAGCAATTTTTCACTATCCAAAGGTAATAAAATGAAACATACTGGGTGGCTGTGAGGAAATCTGATTGTAACTACTTGGCCAGGTAGCTGGTAATTCCTTACAACTAAAATTTTCTTGTGGACACAGAGACAGAAGTAAGTGAACTTAAAGATGATGCACAGAACAGCAGCTGGAGCAAAAATGTGAAGTCTTGTCTCCAAGGTTGGCTCACTGGTCACTTAGCAGCTATGCAGTGAGTGGATGGATTGTTGGCTAGAACCAGCCACTGGGGAAGGGAATCAAGGCTACACAACAGCAAAAGTGATCAAGGGACATGCCACTCAGTGTGTTTGTAGAGCAGATGTCTACCAACAGTTGTGCTCATGAGTCATACCAAGACTGTTTTCCAGCATGTTAACTGGTCTGTTATCAGATGTAGCACTAGATGATGGAAAAGCAGGTTAATTCCCTAGATTCCTTTCTTTTTTCTCAGGCTCCTATCTCATATTCTGTCTCCATCTGCCACAATATAAACCCACATTCACTTCTCTGCGGTTCCTGACACTGGCTTTGCTTTTTTTTAGTATTCCTCTACATCTCATTCCCTCTTTCTCAGTTGATCCCTGCTACCCAGTACCTTCTGACTGAGTCACATCTTTGGAGGTAGCTGCCCAAATTCAGCTTTCTTGATATCAAAAGGGAAAATCTCCCCTGCATCTGATGAAGTTAATGAACTGTGACAGCCACCTTCTTCAAAGCATCTCTAGCAATGACAAGTCATCACCTGAAATATGATCATCAGGTGACAGAAGGAAGACATTGCACATTGGATACAGAATTTTATTTTTCCAGAACACTTTTCATTATTTTAAAACAAGGTTTGCTGTCAAATTAAAGCTGACGATCCTGGGACAGTAGAAAATGTTTCATTTTTCATGTGCACAAGATTTCTGGGCCAACAGTGTCACTAACACTTTTGTTATGGTTTTGCTTAATCTGAACACAGTCTGTATGATTGACATCTGTTAAGATGTTGCTTGATCTGAACAAAATGGGGAAAATGATGAAAATATGTAAGCCCTTGGTTTTTTCTTCATTTGGGGGTGAGGAGAAACAAAACAGACTAGCATGATAAGGATTGCCTTCAAAATGTGATACTGTGATAAAAAGATTAAACTGAGTAGATGGCAATAGAGGAGATTGAGAGCAGAGTGGGGCCAACTTGTATGGAGAACTGCCAAAAACTGGCTTAAGAGATGGAAACTAAGAGAAAAATATTGGAGAAAGATGAAGATAGTACATGGAATGAATTCTGTGTACATGAAAAAAACTAAAGACATTTCTGGGGAGCATCAAAATAAGCTAAAAGAGAAACAGGAATGCAGATAGAAAGAAAAATAAAGAATGTGGGCAAATGGAAAATGGGGATGGAGAAGAGGAACAATAGAGATAGATTTGTAGGGGATCATCAGGAGAGGAACTGAGGTTTGTTGAAGCAGGAGGTCGATACAGAATATTGAAAGCAGAATTTGCTTGGCTGGATGATTTGTTTTTTGGAGCAGGAGCTAAGTGCAAAGAAAGGGGACAACCGGGTGATGAGAATGACAGCCCAGAAAAGGAAAAGTGGTATCATTATGGACAGGACAGTTGCTGTCCCTAAGAAACATAGGTTTGGAGAGAACAGGCAGGTGCATGTGCTCACAGGGAAGCAGGCTTCCCTACAGGGCTGCAAGCTTGATCTTCTGCATTGTCAGGAAATTTTATAAAGCCTTTTGTCACAGTGCCGTTATTCCTCTGCTCTGGGCTCAGCTTGTAATAAAACTAGATTGCTATTTGCCATTTATGGGTTTAATTAAGAATCAGATCTATATGCCAAAGCTAACAGTTGCAGCTCTGCTAATCACTCATAAATATAATTAGGATGTCATATACTGGATTTTTTTTTTTCTGGTTTGGAGGTCTTTTTTGAATTTCGAGTAAAATGTTACGAACACATCAGACAGGTAAAATTTTACTGTGTTTTAAAAGTCAAAAGTACAAAAGTCAAGACTGTACAGCATAATTTGAATTTCTTATGAATTCATTAGAAAACAATTATTATCATGCTCTACTTTGTACATTTTCTATCCATGCCTAAGTTGCCCCAAGTTGAGGCTCAAATTGCAACGGCACACTAGAGGGGAGAGTGCTTCTGACTTCTGTAAGCAACGAGTAGAACACACATACACAATGAAAACAAAAGTCTCATATTTACTTAATATTTTGTTGTGTCCCTCCTTTGTGCCCTAGAGCTTTCCTGTTATAGTTGTGAAATCATTCAAAGTATTTTCTGCTGATACTTAGTTTTAGGTGTTCCCAGTTAGGTGTGCTGAGAACAAACTGTTGTAACAGAACACTGTGGGAGCACAGTCTCAAATATTCGAAGCATAATACAAAAAGGAAGTTTAAAGCCCACTCTGTAATGTCTCAAACCAGTATTTGCATTTCCTAGACACTTCAGTTCTTAATCCTTTCAATTTTGAAATAGGAAATGAGATCTATATAAATGTCTCACTTTACAGGTATTCCAAAAATCACCATTTGTGATGTATCTGAAGTAAACATTGAGTGCTGCAGAATTATCCACCAGGATGCTATTGTTTGTTTTTTCTTTGTATTGAACGTTTTTCAATGGAGACCTGTTGTGGTGCAGTACAAACCACAGAACCATTTTGCATTGTGTGCACTGGCCATAAGGACGGAAGGAGGTGAAGAGCGATGACTCAGAAAAGGAAACTTAGTCTGGCATTTTCTAACTTTTGAGCTCCCAATTTGACAATTATACTTCTGTTTACTTCTCTGCAGTTTGACTGCAAAACTGAAAACTGTATTTTAAGTAACAAGACTGACTCTGAGGAGAGCATTTCCTGCCTGCCATGCATTTGAAGCAGATTTTTTGAAATCATCATATGAAAGCCTGCCCAGTGATGTGACCACAGCTTCCTTTTCTGAACTGTGTGCATCTAGTCTAGTGACTTAATCTATCAGTAGCCCTGCCTTTGGAGAGGATTAGTGTGTCTCTACTCAGAATCTTTACAATTTGGTTTCACGCACTCTGATTTTCTCAGACTTAATTGTAAAAAGTTGTCACATAGCAGTGAGCTGTTATAATGCTCTAAATCCCAAACATCACTTCACATGTGCTATTCCTTTAGTAGCAAATAAAAGCTATGAAAAAAAGGCTAATGGGACAAGTCACATGAAAGGGGCTTACACAGGAGGGCCTCTGGATTGCTAATAGAGATGCTCACTAATTATCTTTACTGAGTGTGAATCAGCAAATTTAAAAAACCTTAGGTATATAAAACTTCTTTATTTGGTGAAATGAAAGCAGAGTGATCATTGCTTTTAAAGTAATTATTATCAGACAGGCAGATTCATAACTGCTGCAAGCTCTCATACAAGCTTCCTGTGGTGGAGCTGACCCTGGGACAAGGTTATATGCCACCAAGGAGAGCTCCTGCACTGTCCCCCACCTCTTTCTTGTGTCCCAGCTCAGTGTTAGTTGTCTTCCTCAAACCATGTGCTTCCAGCTACAATTGACAAAGAGTCAGGAATCTTCCAGAATTATGCAAGAAACTGCATCTGACTGGAGCCCTGAGCCTGCATCTCCATGGTCCAGTTCCCCAGACTGCAGTGATTTCTCATTATCTCTGTGTAGCTCTAGATCTGTCAAGTCTGTGTCACTCCAGGTTACATCAAACATGTCATCATTTTGTGGCCTCAGAGGGGCATTCAGCCTGTCCTGAGCGTTCCTGGGATCATCAGCAGAACAACAGTGGTCCACACATCCCCCCCGCCCCGAGGGAGGGCACATACAGCTCCTGCTGGTGTCAGCAGACATAGGTACAGAGGGTCCAGGGGTCACCCTGAGGGCACTCAATCCATCCTCCTCCCTGCCCCTCATTGCTCTAACACCCAGCTTGCCTGGCAGCTCCTCTCTGAAGACATTTCTTCCTTTTGCCATTACTTTTTTCTAACAGGAACTCAAAAGCACTGCTTTTGCATAAACGAAGATAAGTAACTGTCACCCTAAACAGGGTCAGGGGAAAAACCAGAGGTGTGAGAGCCAATGTAGTCACATATAAGATGCTGGAAACGAGTCATGGAAGAGGAATGGGAATGCACAGTAACTGCAGGACCTGGAATCACTGGGTGAGGAAGCATGCAGAGGAACAAAATTTAGTTCAGAACAGAGTTATCTCATTAAGGATGTTTCAGGAGACACAGCAATACTGAACAGTGAATGTAGCTCAGGAAGGGTATTTTCATGGCAGAATGGTTTAATCTAGTGAGGAAAGGCATGTGAAAATAAATTTTGTGATGGCTGAGTATGCACTGTGGAGACGAAAAGTTAATATTTCTGACCAGAAATCTTGGAAAAATGCAGGATAAAGAAGCAAGACATTATTTCCTCCCCTTCCCATCACTGCACCACTGTCTCAAAATCACACAACTACTTCAGATCCATTCCTTTTATTGCCTTGTCAATGCATCTCCTTTTTTGTTTTTGTTTTTTTTCCTTTTTTCCACTCACATTATATGTAAGAACATTTGAAAAGGTGGAAACCTGCATGGAAAGAAAGAGAGTAAACACAGATATACAGCTGTCTGAGTTAAGAAGATTGGTTGCTGAGGACATTTGTCATTAAGGTTTAATAAGGTTGCAGTCTGGCCTGCAGATGAGTGAGAAAGGTCCTGATGAGCTGCCTGAGGCCCCCAGATGTTCATCCTCTGTGACAGAGAAACTG